CATTTTTGATCAAGTCTTCTTCAAAGACCTTTCAGCTGCATTCACACTGGTCCGTTGGGGAGACAAGCATCAAAGCTTAAAAAAAAAAAAAAAAAAGGCTTTCCGTGTACGTTCACACGAGCCCGGCAACTTTCGCTTTAAAAGTTGTCATATGCTCGCACTAGACTGCGCTTCATATCGGAAACTTTGAGAAAAACGTGAAATTGTGTGGTATTTTGACTTTTTACGATTACATTTTTTTAATTAAAATGGATTTTATTTCTGCTCGATTAAAACTTATTTTACTTGCTTTGTGTAAGAGAAGCAGAATGCAGTGGTTTATATAATATGTGAGAGTTGACTGCAGTAAGGAGATGCAAATAATTTAATTAAAGAATTGCACATGAACGAAATGAAATTTCTTTTAAGTACTTTCGCATGACACCTCATCAATTCAATGAATTTATAGCACTCACTGAACTATTTATTCAAAAGCAGAACACTAATTTTTGTCAGAATATCCCAGAAAAGAATCGTTTGGACTATAGGAATAAGGATATCTCAGAAAAGGATTGTTGTATATACCAAACGCTGTATATATCTACTTTAATTTATTTATGAATTTTGTTGAATGATAATTAAAAAAATCCTAAATGCATGATTCTATTTTGGAGAGTAAATTTTTCATGTGGTAGAATACCATAAATATTTTTGCATGATGCATGAACTTCCTTTAAATGCCTCATTAAATAAACTTCCCTTAATTGGTTTAAATAATACAATAAAAAAGTATATTTTGTTTAAATATATGCAGGCTTTACAGCATTACTAAATTACATATCACACTTACAAAAAAGCAGTTATTTTTAAGTTATTAAACAACATCAATTAAAAAAAATGTTTTAGTTCCTGCTTTATGTACATATTTTTTACCTTAAATGTAACAGTAATTACCTCAATTACTCATTCATATATTAATGAACAGCCACTATCTAAAGGTTTATTTTATAAGGTCACTTTTATCTAAAACTCGTTGAAGTAACTGCATTTTATATAATACTTCTTTTTGTGTATTAAAAATTGAATTCCACAATTAGCAAATTTGCTAAATCTCATGCTAAAGTTTTTTAAATTAAAAATTATCACCAAGATTAAAACTGTCAAAAAGTGTCATGCATGTTAAGAAAAACAAACAAAAAGCCATTAAAATGCATAGAAGTATTTCATGAAATCAGTTACATACTAGCAAGTTTCTTTTCTGTATAAATAACAGTTTTCTTAATTTTTTTAAACAAATGGTTTACTCGTCATCACTCATTTAAAATTCAGAACTCACTAATTTTTTTAATTAGATGAAACAGCAACTTTATACTAATACCAGTATCGCTTTTGCTACTCTCATGTAAGCTGAAATAGAATCAGATCATAGCAGTCAGATCTTATTAATTATACCAAAGGCTCATTGTCAAAAGAAGGATAATGCACACAATGACGAGTGAAAATTAGGTTTGTTTGAATGATGAATGAAATGAAAAATAAGTGCAAGTTTCTTGTGTCACCCCCCCCCCCGAAAAAGGGTCGTGGCAGATTAAATAAAAAAAAGTATAATCGTTTTATCATCAAAGGTAGGAAAAAGCAAGGCTCAAACCCCCAATACAAGCCCCTAGTTAAAGCTGAATTTGTTACTCGTGTTAACCTCTGCGCTAAGGTACCTTGCAGGTAAGCACCGTTTTCACACTTCATGCTCAGGAAACTGAACAAGCATCTGGTCTACTCTGAAACTAGCCATAATATTTTCTGTAAATATATTTTTAAAAATACCAATTCCATTACAAAACCCCTCTAGTGACGCTTGAATGCAAAAACTTTGACTCAAGAAGCCAACGTTTTATCCACTAGGCAACAAGATCAACGTTAAACTAATGTAGATATATTTTAAGAAAAATTCAGAATCTGGGATTTCCAAATCCATCACCATTTTCTCATACAATTACAGAATAATCTCGCTTCCGATTATTCTGTAAAAATTATCAACCATATATCATTTGTGGTTGATTCTTAAGGTTTATTACAACTAATAATCTTGAGAATTTTCCTTTAAATAATTTATAAAGCTATTTATTCTATTAGCATATGCCTTTTTTTTTTTATTTAATCTGAAATTTTTATTAAGATTAGTCCACTTGACTTCCCCCCCCCCCCATCAAGAAGAATTTTTGAAAGTGCAATCAATTAAAAACCATGGCATAAACTGGACGTTTTAAACAAGTTACTGAAACTGACGAGTCAAGCATCAAAAAGTTGAAGTTGAGTCAACTTACTGCCGGCCATCCGGCAAATGCCGCCTCTGAACTTGCTTCTAATTGGTTAACGCGTGATCGCGTTGGTGTGAACGCAGCTTTACTTTTTTGGCATGTTGGAACACCAAAAAACTGGAAACAAGAGATTTTTAGGAATAATGTGGTATGTACCATCATTAAGTAATTAAGCTCCATGTCTTAGTGGTCTATTAATAATATGGGGGGAATCAATAAAAAAACTAATTTTTTTCATATGCAGTTCTTCACGTATAGCTTCAGATTACATGTTAAGTTTCTTCTGCATCATTTGCTAAGTACGATTATTGCTGATTATCATTTTACGTACGGCAGATAGATTTTTTGGGATTACAGCTGACAAAGGTCATTTTGTGTGTTCTTCATCCAGGAAAGAATTTCAACCTCTAAGAAATTCTGTAAATCATCTGAATACAGTGGCATGAAATGGAGCTTCATTTCATATGAACAAATGTAACTTCATTTCATATGTAAATTTATTATACAATAGTTAAATTGCTATTACTATCACAAATTATTGAGTGCAGTGCATCACAAAATATGTGTTGGCTACAATCAATATTCATTTCCGTCCAAATGAAACTAATTTAGATTTCCCAAGAACACAGTGCAATATTAAAATAATAATAATAATAATAATAATTGAAGTATTTAGGAGCATGTCACATGTCAAAAAGTCAACTCCCTCTCTTTTTACTTCCTTGTACGAAGTAAAGGAAGTATTGCAACATGAACATTTTCGGATATCATATTTCAAGGAAAATATCCATTTTGACTGCAATCGAATGCAATTTAACGATGCTTTTGCATGACATCTGTACATAAGGACAGAATAAACGACTATTTCCCCCAAAGCAAGTTGCAAAAAAGATTTAAAATGGATTCAGTAGAGATTTTTTCGTGACGTCCGTATGTATGCGCGTACATAGCATAACTCAAAAACGAGTAGCTCCAGAACATTAAAATTTTGTGTATAGGACTGCTACAACTTGTATCAACCACACCGAAAGTATATAAATAAATGTATATATATATACACACACACTCTGTTAATCAGCTCCGTGAGCTTAGTTTTTTTTTTTTTTTAATTCTTATATATTTGGTAAATTGTGCATGTTTTGCTTTGAAAATGATTGAATTATGTTATTTTACCTTCCAGTTAAAGTTTTTACGCCTTTAGTTAACCCTTTCGCGCCTAACAGGACACATACGTCCCAAGCAAATTTCAAAAAATACTCTTGGGATAGAAACGCTTCTCTGTCTAATGGGAGACTTTCCCACCAGTCCTGCCAATATTTTTGAAGGTATTTTCATTCACAGAACATAGATGGCACTACCGTACATAATGCAATTCCGGCATTTTTGAAGTGTTGTAGCAGCTCATTCCATACTCTACGAACGTAAATAGTTTAGTTTTGGAAAATACCGCCTATTTTCGATTAAATTTTGATTTATCCATAAATCTAAGGCCAGATAAGTTACTCACGAAGCGGATTACCTCTAATAAACTGGTAAGTGGCAAAGTTTTACTTCCGTTTTTATTATCGGGACATATGTGTCCCTCTCGTCTTGGATAGTGGGAACACATTGTCCCAACAGTCTTATGTGATCATTTCTCTAGATTATATTTTTCGGTTACTTTTGAAATAGATGCTTATTATTTTTAATTTAGGCACATATTAATTCAATCTAAAATGACTTGACGCCAGGGACTTACTAATGAAGAAATAAAAAAAAAATTTAGAAGAGTCAAATGACCAAGATATTGATTTGGATGATGAAATAAATGATCCCGATTGTCAAGATCCAACACACAAATTTGCAGTACTCATCGATCATGATACCATTCCCAAAAATACAAAGAACAGCGATGCTTTGAGTGATACTGATACGGCATCACTTTCATCAGTTGATGAGATACCATCAGGCTGCAAACCAATCTTATGGTTTCATGCAGATTCAACTTTCCAACCTCGAATGACAATTCCAGCAGAGTCATCGCCTAGTTTGTTATTCAAATTAAATCGTTCAGCTACCGAATTGGACGTGTTCCTCAAGATATTTCCAAAAAGTCTTATGATTTGGATCTTTCAATGCACAAACCGACGACTCGAAAAGTTAGGACAAACAATTCACCCTACAGACCCCTCTGAAATTATGCTTGTCCTTGGATGCATGCTTGTCATGTCTTACAATAGGGTGCCGAAATTCTCTCATTATTGGTCATCTAATCCTTCTTTGGGAAACGTAGCAATAAAAAATGCTATTTCAAGAGACAGATGTAAAACGTTGCTGTCGAAACTATATTTTGCTGCACCAGAAAAGCCAGAAAATGCAAGTAAAACATATTATATTGACGAGGTTGTTTCGTGCCTGAAACAAACCTTCAAACAGTGCCGAAGCGAAAGCTCATATCAAGCTATTGATGAATCAATGGCGAAATTCAAGGGACGTTCGTCCCTCAAACAATATATACCGATGAAACCTGTGAAAAGAGGGATAAAAATTTGGCAGCTATGTGATTCAAAAACAGGATATGGATATGACATGAACATTTATTCCGGAAAAGAAACGGGTGAAGTTCAAGCTACACTCGGGGAATGGGTAGTATTAAAGCTAACAGAGACAATCCGAGGTAAAGACGTGATGCTTGCGTTTGACTGATTTTTTACAAGTGTGCACCTGATGGAAACACTGAAATTTCCTGCTGTTGGTACATGCATCAAGAAATGCAAAGATGTTCCTAATTTTGCAACAAAACTAAGCAAAAGGGGTGAGGCTGAGTTTCTCGTAACTAAAAATGGAACATTGTGTGCGAGGTGGCTTGATTCAAAGGAAGTGATGATGCTAAGTAATTGCCACGAAGCTAAATACACAAAAGTAAATCGCACCATGAAAGATGGAAGCAAAGAAGAATTTGAGTGCCTTGTGGCAATTGAATTCTACAACAAAATCATGGGAGGTGTAGACCTTGCAGATCAAATGGTAAACGTCTATGAATTAGATCGAAAATCTTGCAAGTGGTGAAAAATTATTTTTTCGCCTATTGATGAGCGCAGTGGTCAACTCATGGATTGCGTACTGCGAACTCAAACATCGAAAAAACCCACTTCTTGATTTCATTGTACCTCTTGCAGAAGCCTTGATGGCGTCCAGAAAGCTCAATGCACAGTATCAACGCTGTAGAGGAAATGGACGCCCATCCAAAACATAATGAAGCTTACTCAATGTTGGTGACCATCTGCCAGTAACAACAAAAACACGACGGTGGTGCCGTAAATGTGCACAACAAAAGAAGGAATCGCGCACTAAAATAATGTGCACGATGTGTAATGTTGCACTGTGCATTGATTGTTTCAAACCATACCATTCGTAATTAAATTTTTATGACTAGAAAATCATTGGTTTTCTTTACAAAATTACTCATTTAAGACTACTGGGACACATATGTCCCAGGGGTCAGTACTGATAGAACATATATGTCCCAATCCTAAATCAGTGTTCAAAATTTTTCTAAAAATATAACATCTTAATTTTTAGCATTCTAGAGTGCCCTACTCATAGTTTATGTTATCAAAATTGTTCTGTTGTAAAAAAAAAAAAAAAAAAAAAAAAAAAAAACTCGTTGCGAAAGGGTTAATCTACATGCATCTGTTGTAGAGCTATCAACAATTCTACAGTTAAGTTATAAGAGTTGTTCAAGCACAGCTATGGCTTTTTTTTTTTTTTTTTTTTTTTTTTTTTTTTTTTTTTAACCATAGCTGCCATATGCGTTTACATTTTAAATTTAGCAGAACAGTGAATTCAGTTTCTGTACCTTCAGTGTCTTTTTTCTGGAGTGGGACCAAAAGTAAACTTTCAGTTTTCCACATTGAAAAATCTGCCTTCTTGCGCATTGGCTGAATAGGTTGCTTCGTGCAGAAACTTTAATCTTAATAGTAAAAATTGTTTTTTTTTTAATTGTTTTAACTGTAATTGGTGTTTCATATTTCTGAATTTTTAATTTTTTTAGTAAGATATTTTAAGGTTTTATGTATTTTTGCCTTGTTGTGAAATGAGAACTGAATTAATTGAATAAGATATATAACTGTAATGAAATTCGAGGAAATAACTTTAAATGAAATGCAAAGAAGAGTGCGTATAATTTAATATTCAAATACAAGGAAGTCATGTACAGTACACATTTTTTATTTTTATTTTATTTTATTTTTCCCCCTTTTATTTATTTAAAATTTTTAAAAGACAGTTTTTAGCTGATAATCATAGAGAAAATTCTCCTCTTTTACACTACTACAAACCAAATTTCTTTTTTTGAAACTTTTTTTTTTTTTTTTTTTTTTTAAATTTTAGTTGTTGAAAACAGCTTTTGTATTTAACTTGCTACAATATATTATATACTTCTGAGTTCCACAAATCTAAGTTCACATCTCTAATATTTTTACAAAATTCCACAAAACCATGAAAAAAAGCTTCCTTCTTTAATAGTTTTAACCCCTCCAGAAACATGACTTCAGATTAAATCATACCAGTTCTCTTAATTAATCAAAAAGAAAGGACATATCCTGACACAAAAAAACACATACAAAAAAAAAAAAAAAAAAAACTCGCTATCCTTTCAAGACCTAAATTAGTCTTGCATTTAAAAACTTCATCCTTTTCATTTTGAGAATTTCATGACTTTTTACAATATTTAAAATAGAAGATGTACTATTTAAATAAAGGAAACCAAAATAAAAATACAGATTATTAAAATCATAGAATTGTACAGATTGACAAAAGATGTTCTTTAACATACAAGACTGCTGTGTTTGATGGAACTGCAAAGTGATACGAGATAATCCTAACTTCGGTGTTTCCAGAATGATCTTGAACTAGAACACAAACACTAGCATAAAAAAATTTTGATAACAACTATCCCTCAAGAAAATTGGCAAAAGAAAGTCACCGAGAATTAATACACCTGTGCATAACAATTCTATTAAAAAAAAAATTAACTTATGTATGACACATGCTTTCTACATTGTAGTTCCACAGCTACAACTTGTGCTGCCTTTTATTTTATGTATCCTTTATGCTATTTCTTTAAAATAACATATGAAGATAATACATTAAAGGATACAATCTTCAAGTGTAATGTTATCCTTGAAAATTGTGTACCTGGAAATAAAAGAAATTATCACAACATATTGATATCTGTTTCAAAGTAACATTAGAATAATAATATATTTATCTTTGTCTTAAATTAATAATGTACTAATAATTAACAGCACATTTATAGTTGCATACATTAATTAAATTATAAATTTCGGTTAACTTTTAAGGTTGCTATACAGTTCTTAATATCTGCAGTTTTGAACATTTCAAATAAAATAGCTAGGTGATAAAAAATTATACAATTAATTTTTATAGCTCTAAAAAAGAAGATTTGTTAGCTTAAATAAAGACTAATTAGGTAATACAGTCAAAAGTCGTTAATCCGGACTCGTCGGGACTTCGGCGATTCTGGATTATCAATTTTTCTGGATTATAGATCATCAGTTTAAATCTGGTAAGATGGCATGCAGAAATTATAAAATTAAAAAGATGAAACCGTAATTTATGAAATAAAGAACAATCATGATCTAAAAGATTTAAAAAAAAAAAAAAAAAAAAAAAAAAAGCTTAATATTTATTTGTTTACTTTATTAAACATTTCTTTCAATGTAAGTTGTTTAAGTTGTTTCGTTTTATGTGATAATACTTTCTCTTTAATTCTATAAACAGACATAATTTCTTCTTCAGTTACAAAGTTCCGCTGTTCAAGTACTATAATTGCTGTGTCGAGAATACCGACTAATTTGTCAATCGAAATTTTTTCGTTTTCATTAACCTCTTCACTATCGTAACCGAATTATAAAGACGAGGAATTTGATTTAAATCATATCAAAGACGGAGTACACCGAGATGAAATACTACATTTAGTAAGGAATTATAAGCCAAATAATAAAACATCTGCCCTGAAGATAAGGATAGTGCTGACAGATCAACTTTCAATTCACTGTGCGCTGTGGCATCCCCCCTCCCCCCCCGCCGCCGCAGAGCAGCGTAAAATTGATAAACAGGTTTCGGAATAGTTAGAGTAACAAAGGATATGTATGCCTTTATCCATTTTTTTTCAGCAATTCCACTTTTTGTTTAATGGACTTCGAAACATACTTTCGCTTTGTAGATCCTTTACATATTAGTAAATATATATCGGAAATTCTATTTGACATAATCGAAAGTTCAAGCTTAGTTTTATAAAATTGCTCTAACAGTCTGCAAAAAATAATAAGCCGGATCGAATTAGACGATTAAGGAACAATGCAATCTGCAACATTAACTGAATTAGATAATTTTAGCTTAGCTTATACCGTCCGTTATACATTAAACGTGCATGCGTAAACGTATTAGGCGCATGTGCACATGCATCTTCGCACGCGTCAACGCAACGCATGCGCAGAAAGTTTGTAGCTTTGAGTTCCAGATTATGAGTGTCCGAATTAACGACTTTTGACTGAACTAATTCATTTTCATAGATGAATATTTAAAAATAGCACATTGTTTTTTCAACGTAAATAATCATAAACTTATTTACAAATTACATAAAATCAAAATTACATTCAAATGATATATCAGTCATATCATTTCTTTACATTGAGAGAAATTATTATACTTACCACTTCTTCAGAACTATTTTATCCCACCTTGTACCAGTCTGTGCTGAGATCAATTTTTTTAAGTCTCCAATGGTATCATCAGGACTATTTCATAGTTAAGGAAATATTTTGAACTAATTGTAATCAAATACAGATTGTACAAGTTCATGCACAAAATTATCACCGATTTGGATTATTATGATAATGCATTCATTTACATAGGGTGCCAATAAAATTTTAAGACTAAACTTTACAAAATCCAAAGTTGAAAAACATTCTTACATTATAGCCTTGAATGTACAATCTTTGTAAGTCTATACAAATGCTTGGTAAATTCATACAGCTGTTCGCTTCTGACTCATCATTTGGAATACATTCTTTTAGAGAAAAGAAAATAATCTGTAATTATGTAATTATCAAATCTGATGAATAAGCAGGGATAGTTGAGAACTGTGACACTTTTCTTTGCTAGAAACTGTTTCGTGAGAATGAAATTGTGTGATGGCACATTGCCATCAAGGGAATTTAATTTACGGAGCACTTAGACACAAAGTCTTTATCTCCACATCATCATATTATATTAAAATTTTATCATCAAAGGAGCTCATCAAATAGGGTAGAAATTTCGAAAAGCCAAAATAAAAAGCTTCAAAAGAATAATGCCTTCACATGAGAAAAAAAGTAAAACTCAAGATGGATTTTTTTTATTATAAAATTTACATCAAAATATTAAGGACCAGAATCAATTTAGAAAGGATAGTCATCATCATAATTTAAAATAGAAAATAAAACATGGAGTTCCTTGATTCTAGATTTTAAAAAGTGCAAGCAATGCAAATGAAAAGAAATGCTTGCGAGGGTCAATGACTTGGCGTCGCTTAAGCTTCGGGTCTAGGTGGAGGGTGTGGGGGGGACTCATTAACCAGGTCAAATACTGGGGAGTCAGTTGATCAGTTAACTCAGAGGAGAAGCAGTGAGAATTTCATCCACAGTGTTAGCAGTTTTAAAAGGCCAAGAAGAAAGCACCCCTTAAGGAGGTGTGAAAAGAGTAAATAGCTGCCCTTTTAAGAAGGGAGAAAGAAGCAATTATCGGTCAAGTGCTGTCTTATGCATTTGCAGCGGTCAAGTTTCTGCCTTGTAGTTTAAAGCTAAATTAGATGGGTCGTTAAATCTGTCAGAAAAGCAAAATTGTGTAAAAATTGGATTTCTTATAATTTTTCTTGATACTCATGCCCAATGTTTTTTTTTTTTTTTTTTTTTTTTTTTTTTTTTTTTTTTTTTTGAGGAAAACAAAAAATTTTATTCCTCAACCCAAAAAACTACTTTAGAGACAATTTCCAGCACTTAGTG